TGCAAATTGCAGTTCGAAGGACCATCATTTGTAAGCATGCCCAACTTACAAACAGGGCATGAAAGCAATCGGCTTTAGCCTCGAGGACGAAGTTGCGTCAGAAGTTGACCATGAAGATTTCATGAGAGGAGTAATTGCAAAATTCGGCCCGAGATGTTTCTTTTGCAACTTGGAAGCTCAATTTAAATCGGATTGTCCGCAAATCTGGGATGCTGTAGCAGACATCAAGCATCCAAGGCATGAGGAAGCTTTATCGGGTGTGAAAGCCAGCAAGGCTCGCCCATTGAGTGAAGCGGAGGCGCGCAGAAAAGAAAAACCGCAAGAGCTGGCAACGAAGAAGATGCAGGCGGTAACGGAAGAGACATGTGAAGTGGAACCGGTGACTGCGGCGGATGACTTCAAGATTGATAATAGGGCAGCCGCGAGGGATGCTCTAAATAGAGTCCAGCCGCAATTGGTAACGAAGGAGATCAAACAAAAGGTGAAGCTCGAATTGGAAAATGATAAATTACAGGAAAAACTAAGCAAACGAAAGCACCAAGTAGTTTGAGCATGAAACTAAATGTGATCTCCGGGCTGAGGTTCGGTATGGTGCCACAAGGAAGCAAAATACCATCGATAATCTCGGTAGCGGGACACCAGGTAATCAGAAATCTGAGTGAACCATCAGTGTTCACTTTGATGCATTTGGACACATATGCAGACTATCTGAGGCAGGTGGAGCCACGCACTGAGTCAAGAGCTGTGCGAGCACTACTAACAACGGGTGGCCCTCGAATAAAGAAGCTTCACGGGCGCTACGTGGACGTTTATGGACCGTATCAAAAATGCTGAACGTGGATGGAATTAGCATCTACACTGGGACATATGTTATAATAGACAGTGATTAAATAGGACAGATCTATTTTGTTGAAAAACAACTCAAAGTCCGTAGGATAGGCCATGACGCCATGATGGAGCAAAACGCTGTTCACATTGGATACGAAGCAGATGTGACAGCACATCTGCACGACACCAACGGAAAGAAAATCGGAGTCACAGGGCTTCTGGACACAGGAGCGGTAGTGAGCGTGATGCCGATAAAGCTTAGGAAAGAATGAGCTTCACCAGGGAAGATCTAATTCCGACGAATCTCCGACTGGCAGCGGCCAATCGAGGAGCGATTTACGTAGCCGGAAGAACACCAATAACGTTCCTCCACGGGATCTTTGGATGAGCTTCCCAGTAGTAGAGAATCTGGATGACTCCGACCAATTCATCTTGGGCAGAAATTTTGTCAGGAATTTCGAAGTGATGATTGACTTGAACAACGGCCTAGTAAGGATTAGGAACCCGGACCGGAAATATGTTAAGAAACCAATTAATAGAATAAAAACAGATGAAAATAAGATACCAATCTTTTTAGATTGAAAGGTAAAACTACAGCCGGGACAAGCAGTAGTAGCAATTTTTAGATTGAGAAATTTAAATTCGTTAAGTGATAGTAAACAGGTTTGTTTGGTACCGAATCCAAATAGTCAAAGTTCAGTGATTTTAGGCCGGAGCTTCTCGGTAACTCGAAAAGGACTGTGTGTCTGTATGATATTGAACACTCTGGACACCACGGTTTCAATCCAGGATGGAAAGAAACTTGGTTACGGTTTGCCGATGAGGACCGACTATGAAAAGACACAAAACTTGAAGAGATATAGTGTGAAAGACTGTCCTTATCTTGCCAATAAAGATAAAATTTTAAAAAAGACTAATGAATTAAAATCTATTCATAAACTGTTTTCACTGAAATCCGAAAGGGACGAAGATTTGTCGAGCTGCTCGAATTTTCTGGAGTGCCCCTCGTCATATCAACTAGAAACTGACAAACCGGTTTTGCCAGAAATACAACAATTTAAAGGGAAAATAGGAGAGGGAGATTTTGATTTATTGCGGGCGGTTTTAAATCCGAACGCGGATGTATTTTCAAAACATAGAGCGGATATCGGTTGCTGTAACTTCGTCGAACACAAAATCGAATTTGAGGAAGGCGCCGTTGCCCATAGGGAAGGTGCAAGACGAATGACGCCACATAAATTGGAAGCGTGCCGAGCGGAAATAGAAATGTTGCTCGATTACGACATGATAGAACCCTCGAAATTGCCATGGGCTTGCGGATTAGTGATGGCGAAGAAGAAAGGGGGCAGTTTAGGTTTTGTTGCGACTTTCGCTACTTGAACGCGGTAACAATAAAATTTGCGTACCCGATACCGCGGATAGAGGAGAGCCTCTCTAAACTTTGCGATGCCAAATTCTTCACCACATTGGACTTGGGTTCTGCCTTCTGGCAGATCCCTCTGCGTAAGAAGGATAGAGAAAAGACCGGATTCGCATGCGAGTTGGGATTGTACCAGTGGAAGAGGATGGCCTTCGGCTTGTGCAATGCAACGGCCAATTTTCAAAGACTGATGGCTCAGGCTTTGACCAGAGTGACGAAGAAGAACGGGAATCTTGTGATGTGGTGTGTTACGTGGATGACGTGGTCATAGCAATAGCAGCCCTGGAAGACCACATTGATTGGCTCGATGAGGGTTTTGACTGCATGAACAGAGCAGGCCTAAAATGCAAACCATCGAAATGTTAGATCCTGAGGGATTCGATCAAGTATCTAGGAAGAATGGTGGACAGGCATGGTGTGAGGCCGGAACCGAAAGCAGTAGAAGCTGTGTTGACATGAGAGGCTCCCAGAACGGACACACAGCTTATGAGCTTCCTCGGGTTTGCCAATTATTACCGTGAGTTCATAAAAGGATATGCAGACAAGGTGTATCCCATGCAGAAGTTGATGCGGAACAAAGGAAAGAAGTTCGAATGGAGCGATGAAGCTCGAACGGCCTTCGAGAACATAAATGGGAACTGTGCGAAGCGCCAGTGCTAGGCATGTCTACTGAAAAGGGCATGTATGTTTTTGACACAGACGCATCAGTAGTAGGGAATACTGCATCAGGAGCAGGAATGGAATGGAAGAAAAGTTCTCTGTCCCATTGCATATGGCAGTAAGGTGTTAATTGACACTGAGATGAAATATGGTGCACCAAAAGCAGAAATGTTTGCGGTAATCACATTTGTGGAAAAGTACCGCGCATACTTGGGGAGCGCTCCCTTTAAGTTACACGTGGACAACAGAGCGTTATCCTGGTTGAAGACATACTCGATGGATCAGAGTTATATCGGAAGATGGATAGTGAGATTAGATGGCTACCACATGATAATCGAGCAGAACGCTGACAGCCTCAGCAAAAAAACCGAGTTCTATGAAAGGTTAGAACAGAAGCAAGCCAATCAGGCAGAAATCAAGGAAGGATTCTCGTTTCTGGACAAAGAAACTTATGAAGCGCTTCCCTTGACGAGATGGTTGGATAAGTCTGGACATCCAACCCCAGGACATCCTGAATTACCTCTAGAGAAAGCAGCCGAGATAAAGATTCTATCCAAGAAGGACCCTGTGCCCTTGGACCTGTTGCTGTGCTCGAACCTGGTTCAGCAGGAACCCTCTCGCATGAACATTAACAGCATCTCATTATTGGATAAAACGGTGCAGGTCACACCGCAACCGATGCGGATGCTGGGTGGAGTTTAAGAGAGAATAGTGACCAGAGATGACCCCGAGTGGTGGCGTCACTGACAGTCAATGAGAAGGTGAAGATCATGCCGTCAAGACGACAACACTAATAAAACGAGAGGGATTGTAGGACAGTTTTAACCAGTACTTCAGAACGGAAAGAACAGGGGAACGATACGCAAAAAAAACTGTTACCTTTGAGGACCAGGATAAAGAAGGTGAGAAGGTTGAACGAAACCTGGTGCAAGATTGTCTGTCCGGGGAGACGAACTGTGAGAAGAGCCGGCGAGTTCAAGATCAACACCCGGGACAAGGAAGTTTGTCTGGGGAGTCTGATGCAGATGAAAAAGTTTCTGATGAGAAACAGGACCTGGAGAATAAAGTTTTGTCCGGGGAGTTCAGATGGATGCGAAGAAGGCACAGAACTGATCCGGAGAAGGGGACAGGCTCTATCGCAGACTCTTCAATGGATCGACATCTACTCAGACAGGAACTCGAGCTCAGGATCGGAACTATCAAAGCTAGTGATCCTCTCACTGCTAATGGAGACTCGAGCAAGGGATCTGAACAGTGAGGTATATCAAGACCCTGACAGTGATCGCTACCTCAAACCAGGTGAAAGAGTTATCGCTACCTCATACCATGTGAAATAGCGCAGCAGATGATCTGGAAACAATAGCGGTAACGAAATGTTCTATAAGTCTGTTGCCACAAAAAGTGGTAGTCAGGACTGATCTTCAGCCGTTCGAACAGGAAACACAGCCGTTGGCAAAGATTTGGTGCGTTAAGATGGAAGAAGACACGCATCAGCCCAATGAGCTGAATAGTCAGATTAGGGTCATGGAGACGTACTTGAAGGCGGGTTGATTTTCTAAATTGGAAAATTCTGGAATTTTCTCTATTATTCTGGAATTTTCTGACATCACTTCTATTCAAAGAATGACGTCATTGCCATAAAAGGAAAATTGCGTGGGTGGTGACGTCACTTCTATTTATTGCGTATGCGATGACGTCATTGTTAGTATAAATATGCTGATATTATTGGTTTTAATCATTAGTTTTGTTTGCCAATCAGAAATAGTCAATTGAATTTTTCTTCAAGTTTTACAATTCGTCAATATAGCGTTGGTAATGCCCTATCCAACTTGTGCACGTACCGTCGCATGACGGAAGGGCCCATTTTAATTGACTTTTTTTAAAAGTAATATAGTGTTAAGTAATCCATATGGCAGCTATCAATAGGGTTACCTTTTAAACGACAATTCTCTGGATCATTCAAACATTGACTAGATTGATTTGTTTCAAGAATTTGTCAATGCAACATAAGTATGGCCATTTTCAACCTGCGCTTGACAGACGTATTGACTGTATTTTATACCAGATGCTTCGTTTTCATGATTTTTTTTTCAGATTTAATGAAATAAGATATAAATACCTCAGTTTAGAAATGGACAAACCATATCGTGGTGTATCAGCTGGAGGAAATTGCTTTGATGCTCCTAAAGTCAGTTATAGTCCACAAACTGCCAATCTTTTAAAAAGTAAGTTATTTTGTATAATCTTGCAATGAAAAAGATATTTGTTACACTTGCGAGAGCAATTGTTTTGTAATCGGGGCTTAGACTTTTCTCCCGTAAACAATTTTTCTGACAAATCTGAATGAAGCTAAAGTCGAATTGTTATTGAAACCACGGGGCGGATCTAGGATTATCTCAAGGGGGGGGGGGGGGGAAAGGGGGTTTCAAAATTTTTTCAAAAATGTCGACGTATTTTAGGTCGACCAAAATGGTTTTCCGAGCTCTCTTAAATCAATATAACGACCCTATTTTGACCAAATTTCCTGCGCCGCAAGCAGTTTGAAAAAATAGGCCAAAAATGCTGTTTTCGGGTTTTTTGGAAAATTTTGACCAAAAAATTGCGTTTTTTCGGCGCTTGCTCCCCTTCAAAATTAGCACACATTGGTGCCAAAGGCGCCTTTAGAAAAGGTCTAGAGTAGGTTGCTCAAAAATGGATGACATAAAAAACAGGGTTGCAATGTTTAAAACATGTCTTGTTTAAAACATGTTTAAAACACTGAATGATTTCGTGTTTAAAACATTTTCCCCTGATTGGCAGATTTTCTTGTGTGCTTTGACTAACTGAACTGTATTCGGGGAAAAACCTCCTCGATGGTTTTCGTGATCGAGGTATCGAACGACGCGAATGGTTCGAAATTGCCGAGAAACGGTAAAATTCTTCTATTCTGTATTCTTGATTTGCTGCGTTTGTTTTTGTATCCGACTTTTTCGGAGTCGATCCTACTGAAAATGAAATGAAAAGAGCACTCGACTTGTAAAATTACGGCGCACAGACTGCATATAATTTCATTGTTTTTGTTAAAAACATGTTTAAAACGTTTTTTATACTCAAAAAGTGTTTTTTTTTTGCAACCCTGATGAAAAATACCAAAGGGGGAACGTGGAACTTTTGGTTTGTGAGGAGGTCGATTCCCCGACGAAAAGGCGTTCAAATCCCCCCTAAATCAGCCCCTGGATAAACCTTAGCAACTTCCAGGCCCTTTCTGATTTGGTTGACTGAAAACTCCTCAGAAAATGATTTTTTGTGTTTATTTGGAGGGACTAAAGAAGGCTAGAAAAAACTGTCATAGGCTTTGTTGAATTTTTAAGAGTTTTCAGCTTAAATCAAAGTAATATGAAGAGTTATAAGCACTTTTCAATTATAGATCACTCACCAATTTTGCATGGGAAAAAGTAGAATAACAACAGAATAAACAATTTTGCATGAAACTGAAAAGTTTCTCGTACAATTCTCATACAATCAATGTATAAAAGAATTTTTTCCAAAACTTTTAACAGAACGCTATTGTTTTTGTGTCTGTTTAGCCATGATGAACGAATCCAAATTGACCAACTTTCAGCAACGGAAACTTGAAGAGTCTCTCAGAGGTAAAATATTCAGCAAATAAAAAATTCATAAATCAGTGCTCATTTTCAATTTCTATTCTGGTCATGTGTTTTTTCCGCATGTGGTTTATCCGCCATATTGGTGGCTGTTGTTCGTAAGTCAACAATGGATTATGGCGCAATTATCAAAACTTTAGTATCTTAATTTGTAGATCAGAGGTATTAAGCCAGTAGGCGGCAAATTCTATCAAATTTTTCAAACCATATTTACTTGCATTTAATTGTGCATTTCTTTAAGTTTTAAAATCCATATTTGCCGTTTTTTGTGTGTTTGTTACGTGCAACGTCGCTTCTGTCTCTGAAAACGCCCTTCTAGTATTTACCTTTGATAAATGTTGGTGCAATCGCGAAAAAGGCGAACGTTTTCTAGCTTCAGAAGTGGGTTTTAACTTCCCAGCGGAATAAACAGTTTAACCATTGATCGAGTAGTCTTTAATTGGGTTAATTTTATCAAAAAAGTTAATCATCAAAATGATCTTGAAGCTCATTTGTCGAATTAGCGGTTTTCGTCTCATTTTCTGTCGGCGGGTTTGCCATGCCATGTTTGATGCTTCCATTCTCTGTAAAAGTTGATCCATTGCCTTTCGTCTGTAGCTGGCAGCTCTTTGCCTAAATCGTGCAATCCAACATCAAGTGAAGATTCCGGCGCGGCAGCTGCCAGAAAAACTAGCGGATCAGATAGGAACAGACGAAAACAACACACTCTGTCGTGAGTAATGTTGCTTAAATCTTACTATGCACTGCTCATCATTCTGACCGTCACATCCTGGCATTTTTTGTGATTTAGTGCAAAATTTCACTGAGAAATGAAGGTTGCTTTGCTTCTCCACAAAATAGAACTTTTTTTTGAAAAGCTCAGTTGTTTTCAGTGGAATTCGAACTCGTGATCAAATAATAGCTGGTGGAGCATACGAACGGGAGAAGTTTGTATCGGCCGGCAGTCAGACAAGAGACAGAGAAAAAGAGAAGGATCGTCTGGCAAGGCGCCTGGCTGGACTGGATCCCGATGAAGTGTTGCGCGAGGAGAAAAGGCCGACTACCCTGGCAGAGTTCGAGGCACAGCAGATGCGTAGGGCCAGGGAGAAAGAACAGGAGAGACAGGCTGAACAGAAGTCCAGGCCGAAGGACCGATTCGCTGAGTGTTAGAAACAATTTCAGCATTAAAAAGGGGACTGACACTGCATCTGGGTTGCTTTAGTATCTAAGTGCTTTAAGTTCTAAAGAAAGATTTAATTTTCCAGAGATGAGGTCAGTGGAAAAATTGGAAAAACTAGTTTGTGTTTACTTTTCTGTCGAGGTTGTTTGATTTTCACTTTCGCATTTTCGAACGGGATTTGAATACGCTCTGTGATAAAAAAAGTGCGCTTCACTTTTAGTTGCGAAGTGGAACTGAATAATAGGATTAAATTCGAATAAATTTTTATCTTTAAAACCAGTTCTCCAATTGTGCTAGCTGTTTTGGAACTGAACGAATGGGAGGATGTAGTTTCATATAAATTCTTTTATAAAATTAATAAGTATAAAAATAACTTGCAAAGCTTGAGTGCAAACAAAGCGGCCTGCGTTCACAGCAGTTAAACATAATTTAACGAACTACTTTAAGTTATCTGTTTTAAGTGTGGGACGAGATCAACGACAGACGCAAGTTCCTCTACCACATGGAGAAGCTGGGAGAGGGCAAAGACTACAGGACCCTTATTGTGACGGAGATATCGCAGAAGATCAGAGAGATGGAGGTGATAGACAAGAAGAGGTCCAATGAACTGGAGCAGGAGTTGAGGAAAGAGTCACTCACAGTAGACACCATGAACACCAAACGATGAGGCGATATCTTCTCTGATTACTGGCCTATGTATCTGGGATAAACCAAAGAGGACTCTAGGCATCATTAGAGACATAAAAGAAGCAAAATAGTTTAGGGCAGCCATTATTGAGTAATCCCAGAACCTGCAGTAGAAACTTGCCAAAAAATCAGTACCACCTCAATAAGAATTTTGAACTTGTCTTAGAAAAAATAATTCTCTGGTGTTTATTTTGGTTGAGAAACAGTAATCTTCATTGTATAAACGAATGTGTATTGTAAATATTGTTCATTTGTTTTAAAGTAAAAATTGTGAATATTTAAGTTACTGATAAAAACTTAGTAATTATTTTTATTTAACAATTCATTTCTCTAAGTGCAAAAGAACGAAGTGATTTTCACTTATATAGGTCTTGATAATTTACCCATTGGTTCATTTTTCTTAAATTTAGTTAAGTTTATCAATAGAAGTCAATGACCTTGTTCGTGAAGTTCAATGAACTTTTACATGATAAATTTTTTCTTTGATATTCGGAAGTTCAGAAACATTGAAAATTTTTGAATGCGTTTTTTTTTTCAATTTCCTTGTTCTTTTACACTTTTCCAACCTTCTGTTGGCTATTTCTTTTGATAGGTATACAGAGTTGAGTTATGAAGTCAAAGTTAACTTGCAAGATAGCAGACTTGAGAAAATGTGGCGAGTCCTTAAAATACGTACCACTTAAAATAGGAGAGCAAGTGATCGTAATCGGGAACTAGACTTTTTTCACATAAACAATTGTTCTTGCAAATCTGGAAATCGAACTTGTTTCAGTATTACACGATCATAGTGTGCTAGTACGATGCAGCTTCTTTTGTTTCGAACCTAAGAAGCATGCTATTTTAAGTAATCAATTGATCGGAAAAAACTTGGTTTCGTACAGTAAAATGTAATTTTGCTCCCAGTCAACTTCTCCCAGCCCAAGTTTTGTTGGCCAATTAGGGTGGTAACAAAAAGCAGAATTATTAAATCACGACCTGAACCAAAATGAGTTAAAAGCATGCATGAACAAACTGAAAGCCGCACAACTTCAACGCAACATGCATGTCGAGTTGAACATCAAAAAATTGTTCGCTGATTTCATGAACTCCTTACGCATAGATGCTAGTTCAAAATACTCTTAATCAAGAAAAGAGTTGAAACTTCAATAAGTCAACAAGTTAAATGTGAAATAGGTATAACGGAAAACTGCTGGTACTGCCTCGCCCCATAATGGGAAGCCATTTTGGGAGGGGCTTAAAGAGAAAGCAAATTTTTTGCAGTTTTCTAACAATTTTAACATTGACATTATGGTGGCAATAAATTGAAAAAGTGATGTTTATTTTTAAATCATAAAATTGCTACGAAATGCCGACAATATAGATAAATTTGTACCCACAATTTGAAAAATTGGACCGTTAAATAAGATAGTGCATTTAATTAGCCAAAAATATGGTTTTAGTTAAAATTAGTGGAACTGGCTTAGTTTTTCGCACTAGTGACATGAACTTTCTACCGACCCCGATTTTGCGTTCCTCCAATAACCTCCAAGATGTTAGTTTTCTAACTCATAGTTTCATTTTAATTTTTTAAAAGTAAAAAGCAGATGCTTGGGTGGCTCCCATGAAAAAAATAGAGACTCCCAGATTCGAACATTCAACAACGTTGGTTTATATCAAACCTTGCAGTGTTTCTTTAAAATGGTTCCGAAGAGTCTTAGGGAATATCTGTAGCCTACTATTTCGCCTTTAATGTAATCTCTGAAAATTTCAGGTCACTCCGTCAATTTTGTGACAGATTTTGCTCAAGATGTAATAGGTCCATCGCATTTTCGATGTCAAAAACTCTCCCGAACGATCCGTGAAATTTTTTTTTCCACTAATCCAGCTGATACAAAAATTAGAGCGGGTATTAAACAGAGAGCCAAGCATAGCGCATAGTTGCCGCCATAAGATCTCCTTAAACTCTTTTCATTAAGTTTGCGTAGAAAATCTGGGCAGAGATGAGTTACAGCCTTGATTGAAGACTCTTAAAACTTACTTGTAAAAACGGAAATGGCAATTCGTTCAAAATCTAGGAGCATCCTTGAAAATTATGCTTTGTCAGAAATTAAAAAAATGGCTTCAAGAAAGTTTAAATTAATGTCTATTTTTGTTTACCAGTAGAGATTATATACAAGGCGGGTAAAAGCAGCCGAATTAAATATATATGGTATGGAACTCTATTATAACATCGAATAAAAACAAAGACACTCTCGTAAAGCCATATAGAATGGACGTAAACGTAAACTTAATCAACGGAAATTAGAACTCGATCAGGATTCATTACACCATTGTCCAAAAATTAGAACTGCTTTTTTCCGTTGGATTAAAGCCTTGCCAGTCGTAAGTGACTGCCCGATAGGACCAATTTCTGTTTCGAGTTCTGTTTTTTTGCTGCACAGCTGCGCAATGAGAGTTGATTTGCTTTCTTATCTGTTACTTCGTGGAGACAATGGGAAATTATACTGCTATTGATATGCGTAACTTGCTGATTGGCCTATTTTTCATCTGACGCTTGATCTGGATTGCCTCACTTTTTCCAGATCGAACATCAAGACTGCTAATCTATGGTTGATACCAAGTTATCTGCTGTGACGGCAAGCATGCGTTTTTCGTGAGCCTTTATCTTTTGCATCAGCAGTTTTGTCGGTTGCTTTTTGTGAAATCATTTCTGTCAACAATAATCATCACGTAATTCGACTCATATTTATGTTATGATGAGAAACGAAAAGTAAATGAGCAACGCAAAATGAAATATAAACCGTGTTAGTAGTATGCATAGAGTGCATTAGGATCGGGGTGGGTCGTCATAGATGGATGACCATTAGACATTGATCATAATGGTCACTGTATTATCTGAGAACCAATGGTCACCGTGTAAAAATACAAATTGTCACCATGTGTTAGGTTTTACTTTATAGTCCTCATGTAATCTGCATTGGTTTCTATTTGCAATTAGCACCAAGTAGTTTATGATTTTAACTAAAAAATCATATTGTAAAAAATTTACAGTTGTCACTGCAGTTTGGCTTAAAATGAGTTGCGCTATCTGCATTTTTTCAGAAGCCTTTCCTTCCTTGCTGACAAACATTTTGGACAAACAAATTATAAATGCGCATTAGTCTTTTAATTAAAATGTATATAAAATTAAACCATGTTAAATAAAAAATAATTCTTGAGAACATTATCATTAAGGTAGACAAAATCCGCGTATACATAACAGAATTTTGTGTATATTCGAGTATTATGTATGTTCGATCTGTTTTTGTGCATGAATATTGTCAAAACTTGTACCTAACTTGTTTGGAAATTGTACTGAAAGGAGGCCTCAGTTGCTGGTATAATGATATCCCCCCATAGATCGATTTTGTATTTGTTTTTGATAGCAACCTAACTTCTCGGATACTTGCTATTCAAATAACAAATGAGTAAAAATGTCAATTACTAAAAGATCGTACTGGCAAAATGAAATTGAAAAGTGTACAAATGGACCATTTTAAATAGTTAATTAATGAGAAAGCATGTGAGTTAGAAAACGTTTTAAAACATGATCATATATATAAACAAAATCGGACGCATCACCCTTAAAATTTTTATCAAAAATGAAATGTGCAATATAAATACAAAAAGAACCGCACATGGTAGAGTTTGAGTTTTGCATGGGACAATTTGTCATCGATTCAGTGACCTGATGGAATTTCTCGTTCAGTCGATTGGTGTACTGCCAAAGAGGAAGACCGAGAGGATCAGCGAATTATAAAACATTTCTTCTGATGCAAATCACTATCCAATTTGTGTCCAGAGAATCTGATTTTGAAGTGTTCACAATCATCAAGATATTGTTTGGGATGTGAGGTCGTAAGTTGTCCGCTGAAAACACTCCAAGAAACTTGTGTTTCAGATGTTTACAGTTCTGAATCAAGTCCTGCAACATGATTTCATCCAGTTTCAGACGGTTGAAGTTGAAAGGACGTTCTGTGTAACTTTACGGTCAAATGTAATAAATACATTCAATGAGCGTATAACCAAAACAAAAATTTCCAGGTTTGCTGTCAAAGCGTTTGAGAATTGAAGATCGAGTGAAACTGAGCAGTTAGTAAGTTATGGATGCAAGAAGTCATGAGCTGCCTGCTGTGTGCTAGTGAGATCGAAACACATAATCAAGTGCTGCTGGTAGTTATCCAGAGTGATTCCCAGCCCACAGTGCAACAGACCCAGCGCTGATAGTGTGTTGAAGAAGAGACGGTTATGATCTTGTGTACTAATTGGTGTACTTGCTATTGGTAAACCGCTTCGTCTCAAGGTAACCTGTTCCAATCCAAACTTTTGATAATAAAAAGGATTCGTTTGGTCTGTTCCTAGAAATGAATTATTTGTGTTCAATGCTATTATAATTTGTCTCACCGGTTCACGAGCAAAAATATCTTCCTGTTGCCACCTGCGCTGCCAAGCTGTTGCAAGAAATGTTTTTTTTTGTAATTTCTTCTTGATATGGGTAGTTCGCAGGAGTTTTGAGCAAAGTTGATTCAGCAACAGAGAGCACATGGTCGGTCACAGTCATTTTTCTAACATATAGGTTCGCTTCGAGTATTTGCAGCTTGTATTGCTTGGCAGCATCTTCAGATATAATGAGAACGTCTGAGGGTAACACCTCTCAACAAATGCTTGTCACATTTGAAAAAATCATTTCCAAGGGGTCCGTAGAACATAATTTCCCTCGATTCGCGGACCAGTTCTCGTTGAGATGTGAAACCAGCTGCATCTATTGCAGCGGAATTGTTTTCAAAACGATATCCCTGACACTTGAGCCACAAATTCTTGGCTCCTTTGCTGTTAGAAAATTCTGTTCCAATAAAGCTTTTATGCGCAAAACTACTATTGGCATTAGAGATTTTGAGTCCATTAGCAGAGAGGGTACAGTCAGAGAAAAGGGAATACAGGGAGTTGTTTACGAGGAACAGTGGATCAGACACAGTAGGATCAGTTTTGTCGTATCTCAGATCAGCTCCATTTGATTGCTTTACTTTACATCGTGTTTCCAAAGAGATTTTTTGCAGGTCAACAAAATTGTTACGGTCACGGTGATTTCAAATTCAAGCATTGGTCCATTAGGTGAATAGACAGTTCCAATTTTTTGATCGAAAGCATTTGCAAAAGTAATCAAAAGGGGTAGTTTTTTAAACAAATCCAGAGAGCTATGGGTAGCTTCATTGGGTAACAAATTAGTGATCATTTTTTTTGTTTGAGAAAAAATCTGCTCGACTTCTCGCTGGTCTGGTTTTTCTTCGAATGGATATTTTTCGAGCCCCTACTGACCCTGTTCTTCGTAGTCCATTCA